GGCGCCTTAGCCGGTTGAGCTATAGGCGCCGAGCCAATTCATTGATTTTAATGTCATGTAACTCCCTTTTTCTTGTAAAGACTGGAGGAGAAAAGAACTTGATTACCTCTCTTTACCTTTCTGATTGTGCCCAGTCCTTACCCTACTTCTCTAGGTTTGTGATACCATTATTCTTATCTATTTCCCTCTTAGTGTCCATTTCAGTCTTCTTTTCATTATTATCTCTTCTCCTAAACTTGTGGCATCTTTTTAGGGAAACTGACATTGTTGTTGGGCACTTGGACTACAGCCTGTGTCCTGGTGTTCCTTAAACCTGTTTACCTGGTCTGCCAGTTTTGACTATCAGCTGGCAACACTTAAGTATGAAACACCTGAGAAACCTGGACCCACTAGCCTGTGATGAAAGTTTTACTTGTTCTGTTATTTTTGGCTGGTTGAGTCTTTAACATTTATTATTGTACAAACAATGGGTTCTTTTGTACAATCTACCTTCAACATGATCTTGTACAAATCTAAACTATTACATATAGTAGACATTTAGCCCTGCAGGTTCATACTTTTATGTTATTGTTTAGATAACAGAATTCAGATTTCACATGCTGGTCTAGAAAATGCTAAAGGATTTTTGAGTACCTTGATATTTGGATTGTTTATTATCTACTTTTCATCTAGTACTGTTTCTTTACCCTAAACTCTATGACTTATAGGCTTTTGAAAACTAATATTTAGAACAGGGTTTCTCTACCTTGACACTCCTGAAATTTTCAGATGTATATTTCTTTGTTATAGGAGACTGTCCTATGCATTGAAGGACACTTAGCATCATCCCTAACCTTTACTCCATAGACCCTCTCCAGTTGTGACAATCAAAATGTCTCTAGATATTGCCACATGTCCTCTGGAGCGTAGAATTGCCCTTTGTTAAGAATGACTGTTTTTTGTTTTTGTTTTTGTTTTATTAAATCATCACTGTGCATATTAATGCAGTCATGGAGTACAATGTGCTGGTTTTATATACAATTTGAAATATTTTCATCAAACTGGTTAACATAGCCTTCCTGGCATTTTTCTTAGTTATTGTGTTAAGACATTTATATTCTACATTTAGTAAGTTTCACATGTACCCTTGTAAGATGCATGGTAGGTGTGGTCCCACCAATTACCCTCCCTCCACTCAAGAACAACTGTTTTAAGGCCTTTCCTGTTATATTATGTGCACTTCTTCTTCTTTTTTTTTTTTTTGGTAGAGGCAGAGTCTCACTTTATCACCCTCGGTAGAGTGCCATGGCGTCACAGCTCACAGCACCCTCCAACTCCTAGGCCTAGGTGATTCTCTTGCCTCAGCCTCCTGAGTAACTGGGACTATAGGTGCCCGCCACAACGCCTGGCTATTTTTTTGTTGCAGTTTGGCCAGGGCCAGGTTTGAAACTGCCACCCTCGGTATATGGGGCCTGTCCTCTACCAACTGAGCCACAGGCACCACCCAATGTGTGCACTCCTTTAGTAGTCTCCTCAGAGAAATATAGAATGGTCCCAGAACTACAAATACCTTTTTATCCAGATTGGATGGAGAATGACATGGTTTTTTTGTTGTTGTTGTTGTTGTTTTTTGAGACAGAGCCTCAAGCTGTCCCCCTGGGTAGAGTGCTATAGCATCACAGCTTATAGAAACCTCCAACTCCTGGGCTCAAGCGAGTCTCCTGCCTCTGCCTCCCAAGCAGCTGGTACCACAGGCACCCGCCACATCGCCTGGCTATTTTTTTTTTTTTCAGTTGCAGCCATCATTGTTGTTTGGCGGGCTTGGGCTGGATTCGAACCCACCACCTTAGGTGTATATGGCTGACGCCTTAGCCACTTGAGCCACAGGCGCCATGTTCCAGAATGACATGTTTTGAATCATTATTCAAAGAACATTTATTGATAGGACTTGAGCTGGAATCTTATTTAGATGAGCTGTATTTAAGACAGACTCAAACACTGTTGTTGGTTTATAATTACCTGCAAACTCTAAAAGCTGTACCTGAAATCTCATCTGTTTCTCATCATATTACTCTTTTTTTCTCTGAACTCTAGATTATTGTCTTTATCTTTTGTTTATCACATTTGATACTATACTACTTTGTATTATTCACATCTTCATAGGAATTCATTGTCTTTAAGGCCATATTAGAAACAGGAACAATGTATTTATACAAATGTTGATTAGAGTCATGTGCTTAATTAGTAGTATTCTACAAATTTTTTTCATGAAAAAATGCAAATCAACACAGCAGTGCATGAGCAGCAGCAAATCCAGTGCTGCTTACCTGTTTAAAGCACTTGTGAGGTCTAAAAACAAAGCTGTCTTCTCTTGAACTCGCCATTTAGTATACTGACATCTGTGTAACAGTAATTTGCTTTTCTAACTTGCCAAAGAGCTTTGTTTTTCTTTAACATTAACCTATAGCTTAGAATTACTAGGAAAATCAGCCAATTCTTAGTATTGAGTAACATTACCAAAATATATCGTCTGTTTAATCTTAAAAATGGTTTTTGAGGTAAATAGGGCTTTGTTGTCCTTCTTTTACTGATGGATACCTTTTATATAGTTCTTAGTTTCATGATCAGATTGGCTTTGAAAGTACCTTGGATTTTACTTTGATATTAATACTATATAAAAATATCTTTTCAGTGAAATCCATACTCTGTAGTAGAGTTGAGATAAATATTCAGACTATTTATGCATTCTATGTATTAACTTTGATCATCTAAATGATTTGAAGCTGAAGATTTTTATAGATCTTCAGAAGTGACAATATCTAGCATGACCAAAACTTAGTAATATATCCTTTTAATATTTAAAAAGTATTTTCTAAAGATTATTGAAAAATTGTAAAGTATAAGGAACTTTCAGAATACTTTTCATATAACAATTTGCTTCATCTGGTATCTTTCTTTATTTCCTTTATTTTGATTTTGTTTATTAACACAGAAAAGCTTCACTGGCCTGAGCAAGAACTTGCTAAGAAGTCTGTTCTAAATGTAGAAGATTCATTTATCATTGACAGCAAAAGAAACATTCCATATTTAGCCGCTGGAATTCTAAAGGACATTTTCACAACTGGAACCAGTAGTTACAATGTTCTACTACAGAGCAAGGAGGAGAAGAAGCATCATGCACAAAAAGAGTCTTCCTCCACCTCCTCCAAAAAACATAGAAAACCCAACAAGACTTCTGTCTCTTCTCATAGCAAAGATCCCCACAGGACGAAAGCCTCAGCACCTGTGACAAGCAATGGTTCTTGGTACTGCCTGGAGAGGCAGCCTGCTGTTTTTGTCACTAGTTCAGTGTCAGATCCTGTAAAGTTTACACATGATATCTCTGTTACAGGGAACAGCATAGTACTGCCGCCTAAACCCAAAAGCAAGGTCAAGCGGCGTAATTTCTCAGCTCTTCCAAAGCCACAGCCACAGCCACAGCCTCAGCTGTGTAGAAGCTTTGAAAAAGGAGATGACTTTTCTGGAAAGAGATTTTGTATATTGACTGCTATAAAGCCCACCAACTTAGAGAAAGAAAAACTGAGATTCTTCAAATCTGACTATACCTACAACCCCCAATTTGAATATGCTAATTCTGCTCTGTCAAGTGTATTAGCCAAGCACAGCAACGCATCTGACCGATTTCTAAAGCAGGTAAAATAGCACTGCAGTAGTATCTCATTTTTATGTAGCTAAAACAACTATATGCAATCTTATAAGCAAAAGAAAAAAAAGCATTTAAAATAACCCAGTTATTTGTATGTTATAGTTAATTCTCACCCAGTATGTATGGATATGTGATAAGAAATCTCCAGGTGAGTGGTATCACTTATATGTAAACTACTTTGCATTAATCTAAATCTATTAAATAGACAATTTGTGATAGGAAACAAGTCTATGAGGAAAACAGCTTCTGATTCTGGTTCCAAGCTTTCATCTGGGAAATGTGTGGCATATTAACCAGCCCGCATACCAGTGTTGGGTCCTTCACACCATGGTTTGTTTTCTCATTGATTTTTTTTAAGGTAGGCTCTCACTCTGTTGCCCCAGCTAGAGTGCAGTGACATTATCATAGCTGACTGCAACCTTAAACTCGTGGGCTCAAGTGATCCTCATGCCTCAACTTCCCCTACAGCTGGGAATGTAGGCATGTACCACCCCACCTAGCTAATTTTTTAATTTTTTTGGTAGATATGGAGTCTTGCTATGTTGCTCAGGTTGGTCTTGAACTCCTGCACTCAAACAGTCCTTCCTTGGTCTCCCAAAGTGCTGAACCACCACTTCCAGCCTTCTGATTTTTTGGTACAATAGATGGATATTCAGTCCCTGGTTGTCCCTGTTGTATTACTACATTCCCAACTTACTAAAACTTCCTGTAAGCAGCTTGGAGACTCAAGTTTGATTCTTGCCCTTGAACTTATTAATGCTTTACAAAAATTATTAGTCATCATCAAATAAATAGTTAAGCACTCATTTAAAGAAGAAAATAATGAGATTTTCAAAATTATCTTCAAGGTTAGCAAATTGTGATGTGAATGATATGAATACTTTCTAAATTACTCAAATTAGACCCCTAGCTCATAGTTTTGTGTTTTTTTTTTTTTTTTTTTTGAGACAGAGCCTCAAGCTGTCCCCCTG